TGCATTAATGCTGCACTTTGCATCAATAAGTATAGCCTATCTTGTATACTAGTTTATCTCTAAATACAAAAGGCTAGATAGGAATTAAGCAACCTCTTTATTACATGGTAATGAGTATTATTTGAATACAATGATAGAATTAATAGAGGTATAGCACTCAAAGACAATCCACACAATCAACTATTAAAACATAAAACATAGCTAGTTCAAGTCTTCCAATGATAAACGTTTTTGCTTCAAAAACGTGACTGGAGGTACTTGACAACATTCGGCTCTAACATGAAGGCCTTGGTGAGAACATCAGGATTAATAGCTGGATTGGATCCAAAAAGGGCATCGGCGATTGTAATTGTGCCCGGATTCTGGGTACTAAAAGCTGAAAGAGCAACAGCAGCAGTTTTCCCTATATTGAGCTGGAAGTGAATCAAACCAATAGGGAAAACAAAAACATCTCCCTTGTTCAGGACCTTAGTAAATAGACGGTTCCCATCCTGGTTGGAGGAGACTAAGCCAACGTATAGTGTGCCTTCCTGGACTACTAGAATCTCAGTTCCTCGAGGATGAGTGTGGGGCGGGTTAAGGCCACCATAAGGTGCAAAGTCAATACGAGCTAGGGATACGCCAAGAGTGTTAAGTCCCAAAAGTTGTTCAACAGATACCGGGGTAACGGCTGATCCAACAGCACTGGATGTGTTTCCTGGCTCGTCAAGCCCTGAATAGAAGAAATCGTTTGCTACGACGAGCTCTCGGTCCTTACAAAACTTCCCATTAACAAACACTGCAGCAAAGGTGTTATAATTAATTCAAAAGCAGCCAAGAAAAAAAATAGTACACTTTCAAAAGGAAGTTGTTATAAAATGCAACTTGCAGGAGCAGGAGCACATACCTCCGTTCTTGGTGTCATTGATGGCTACACAGAAGTCTTGGAGAGGGCTGGGGTCATAGGCAGAAACAAAGGAGGAAGCAAAAGCCAATAGGGCAAAAGCTACGAGGAAATAAGCACTCTTCATTTTTATAAGGTTTGCCTCTACCTTAAATTCTTCCAAGCTTCTTTGTGAGGGATGAGAAACCCCTTCAAGGAATCATATCTATTTATAGGCGTAAGTGTTGAAGTAGTCTCTCCTTTTGTCTCTTTTTTCAAACAGTAGGTGTAAGCCGTACCAAGTCTTCGGTAGCAAATCTTTTTGTTTCTTCCGATACTTACCCTTTGATTGGTTCATTACTTTGATTATACCTAATCAAAGTCTAAGAACGTACATTTTTATGTGTTTGACAAGCTATTGTGAATTATCTAAAATAAAATGTCACAACTACAAAGGTAAATTAATTTGGTAGCAATTTAGTGAAGATTTTATTTTGATTATACTTTGATTATACTTATGATTCTATCCCGTTTTCACTACTCAAACTGGGAATAGAACATAAGTGAATGGGCATTAGAAGGCTCTAAGCATTTTTCAAGCTTATTTGTTGTAGCAGTTGAAAAGGCATTAGATTGCATTTTTCTCACAATTCCAGAACCTCTGTTAATTTCAAGGATTTATCCCCACCTAAAACCCTGTTCTCTGGTCTATTTGGACTTGGTAAATGAAAGAAAAAATGTACAGCTGACAGATTTGGAATTAAGGTTTTAGCTAGTAACAGAAAAGTTGTATTGACGCATGACTAATTATTTGAATTTGAGCACATTTTAGTGGCTTCTAAAGCAATATATGGAGTCTTTGTCCCATCCTCAAAGAGAGATCTATTGGTTAGCTAGTGTCATTTTATATGTCAAATTTTTTAAGCCTTGAGATTAATATTTAAAAAAATTAATTTAGATAAATGCATGAAGTTGATATAAGAGTATGCTCTTAAACTTGTATAGGTAGAAATTAGTTTCAAACCATATAAAATTTGACACGTAAACACCTTAATAATAAATAAATATATAAATGCAATCTTTGTCATTGGAGACTTTAATATATATAACATGGTGTTTTGTT